TGATATTTGGGAGGAGGAGGAGGAGGAGGAGGAGGATGGAGGAGGAGGAGAAAGGAGGAGGGTGTAGGAAGAGGAGGAGGAGGAGGAGGAGGAGGAGGAGGATGGAGGAGGAGGAGGAGGAGGAAGAGGAGTTTGATCACATGCAGACGCGCGAAGGTATTTCGCGCCTCTCGCTTCACGGTCAAGGAAGGGGCACTGTCTTTCTCCAAGGGGCGGCGCGAGTGCGCGAACATTATCGCGTTGGGGGCGAGGGTCTCCGGATGCCCATGGAAGATGCCGGAGGTCCTCGCGGAGTGATCCGGGTGTCTAAATTGAGGGAGGGTGAGGAAGAAAGGGAGGAGGAGCAGGAGGAGGAGGTATTCTGAGGCTCTAGAGGTCGGAGGTCTGCGGAGGCCTCCGTAGGAAGGACGAGGACCAGAGTAGGCAAACATTGCACCACCGGTGCTGCAACACATCCTCCCGTCCCAGCCCTTGTCCTCACGCGTCCCTGCAAGCTTTCCTCGTCACCACAAGGTGCGCTCCCCTTGAGAGGCCAGCACTGCGGGGCCTCCCACTTTGGCGAGGGCCCCGCTTCGACCACGCATCGCCTCGGTTCTCTCTGGCACATGGCAGGAGCGCAAAAGCAGTACAGTCGGCCTGGATTAGTAGGTCGACCCTGCCAGCTCAAGGGTACCTTTGTGTCCTGTGCCTCGCGACACGTGCCTTCTTATACTCCAGTGGCGATGTGGCCTTCGGAAAGGTCTTGTGTCCTCTCGCGTGTCCTCTCATGTCCTCTCCAATGAAGTCCGACTGTAGCATCATACAGTTCAGCGAAGTTTCCGGTGACATGGCCTCTTCGAAAAGGGTCGCCCCCCCCCTCCATGTAGTTTCGCCGAGCGCGTTCCACTACTCGCAAAGTGCCTACTCGCAAACGTCCGAAAAACACTTGTCTGCTTTGACGCAATTTATCGTAGATCCCGGCGGGGGATCCAGGCCATTTGCTAGTAGTCACTTTGCGAGTCGTGGAACGCGCTCGTCGATAGTTGTTGCACACATTGGCAGTTGTTGTCCGTGTCAGGCGAGCAGCTCCCATGCTGAGAAGAGCCGCTCTGGATCTGCGCAGCGCTGCGTGCGGTGGAAGCTTCGGGGCTTCAGGATGAGAGCAGGCTTCAGGGAGAACCCCAATGACAGTGGAGACCCATGCGAAGAAACACCCCGCTCGCCTCTAGGGTGCCCTGGGTTTCTTGGGTGTCGATGGTTTTGCCATGGAAAGCGCGACGCTCCCACGCCAAAAGTCGATGGACTTCCTGGGGTCTCAGGATTGGGTTTCTTGTGGAAGGTTTCTTGTGGTCGGGCCCCTACTGTAGAACAAGAGCAGTTCTCCATCCTCCTACACGCTGCATCAAATAACCAATGCGCGCGGCGCCAATGGCGAGAGCCCAATCTGAAAAATACCAGTGCTCAATGTTTGAAGCGGTTTTTCCAGACTTTCATACGAATGTGCACGGCGAAAAGGCGAGAGCCCTACTTTGAAAAGAACCGCATTCCATCCGTGAAGTTGGTGCGAAATGTCAGAAACGAGTGTGCGCGGCGCTCAGACTAAGTCGAGAGTTGCATTTTGAAAACAACCAACCCCCTCCATGATTGAAGCTGCTGGGGTGTTTGAAGATGCCTGCAAGGCAAGTGCCACATTTTGACAGAGGACCTGCCCTCCGTTCTTGAAGCTGCTGCAACTGCTTGAGGCGACCGCACCCAGCGTCAAGGCGAGAGCAGATTTAAACAAACGGCCCATTGCAAAAAAAACCCTGGAACGAAGGATTGCAAAAAAACCCTTCGTGCAGGTTTTTGTTGCAATCCTTTTTGCAATCCTTCGTGCAGGTTTTTTTGCAATCCCTTTTGCAATCCTGGGTTTTTTTCCCAACCCTCCTTGGTTGGGTATTCGTTTTGAATAGAGCAGTGTGGTCGCGTCCTTCCTCCTCCCGCCTCCCGCCTCTTTCCTGCCTCTTTCTGTCTTGCCTGCGGGGGGCTGTGAAACTGTCGCCAGTTTCGAGGCCTGCTGGGGGGTCCAGCATAGAGGGTAATCGCGGCAGATCCAAATTAGACCTCGCCATTCCTGGGGGGCTGCGATCTGTGAAACTGTCGCCACTTTCGAGGCCTGCTGGGGGGCTCAGCATAGAGGGTAATCGCGGCAGATTCAAATTAGACCTCGCCATCCCTGGGGGGGGGGGCTGCGATCTGTGAAACTGTCGCCACTTTCGAGGCCTGCTGGGGGGTCCAGCATAGAGGGTAATCGCGGCAGATCCAAATTAGACCTCGCCCTCCCTGGGGGGCTGCGATCTGTGAAACTGTCGCCACTTTCGAGGCCTGCTGGGGGGCCCAGCACAGTGAGGGCCACGCGCGGATTCAAATTAGACCTCGCCATCCCTGGGGGGCTGCGATCTGCGAAACTGCCGCCATTTTCGAGGCCTGCTGGGGGGCCCAGCACAGTGAGGGCCACGGGCAGATTCAAATGAGACCTCGC